TTTTTTTTTTTTTTTTTTTTTTTCTTTCTCTCCCTCTGTTTAATTCATCTTTACTTCTCTGCTTTCCTTTTCACACCACCCTTTCTCCCAAACCCTCTGTCCTGTGTATATAGGACTAATATAGCAATTTCCATGCCAAGTGTGTAAGTTACTAATAAAAATTGGTGAGGTTTTGCAGACCCTGTCACTTTTGCCGTTCCTTTTCATCACGAGCATTTCGAGTATTGGATGCTTCCTTCCCTGTAAGGGGGGATTCACAAGGGACACACTAATGTAAGTTCTGTCTCAAGAAGTTTTCTTCCTCCCACTTCTGGGAATCTCCTGGACCAGTCCTGCAGGAGAGGTCCACAGAGATGCTAGTGGAGGAGAACACGATCCCCAGCTGTTGGGGCAACAGCAGTGAGCAGGGCACAGCCACAAGATCTTAGAGCTTGGGGGCTGCACTGTGCTGCACCTCATCCCATGGCATACACAGTGCACAGGAGCCGTATTCCTGTACGAGTGTCCCGTGTGGTCGCCACTGGGATCCAGAGGCCCAGCCAGCAGTCAGCCACCACACAGGACCAGGCACACAGCATGCCTGCGGCAGCTCCCCTGGGCAAGCAGGACCCAGAAATGCCTTTGCCCAACATGGAGAACAGCAGCAGGACACCTCTGCCAGGCCCTGAGAAGAATGAGAGGGATTTGAGTGTCATCTCGCAGACAGAGCCTTCTCACGTGCGGAAGAGCAGCAGCCAGGTAAGGCCATTGTACATCCCAAGAGACCTACATCAAATATTGGAGCCCTACATCAAATATTGGAGCTCTATCACAGAAAATACCCCTCACAAGAAACTGCCAGGATCTAATTATTCTGACTACCTCCCAGACATTACTCCCCACTTGGAACTGGCACCCTTTTCTACACCTGACACAATCCTGATGAACTTTTAGCAGGCATTTTTTAAGCTTTCACCACACCTCTCTAAGGTCCGTTTGTTTTGCCTGACACAGTAGGCCATTTCACACATTACATTTCATTTAGGTCTTGGATCACCGCCAAATGGTAGACAGCTGATTTTTTCCTCTAATTTAAGACCTCCAGAAGCCGTGTATCAGCCAGATTCACCCCTTCTGTATTTGCTACTAATTACCTGTAATCCAGCCAAACAAAGTACAAAAGCCCAGCTGCAGCAGGATTCAGACTGCAAGCAAGTAAAGGAAAAGCAGAGACACCTATTGTAATGAACACAACAAGCAGGAACCATTGTGAAACTCAGCTTCTCTCCAGCTTGGATCTGGATCTTACCTCCATGCTGTACTTATCCTCACTTGAAATTAAAGCAAGGAGGTCCTTCTGATCTTCCAAATCCAGAGATACTATTTTGTTTTACCTCTGTTACTCAGCCAGCAGATGTGAATCAAACCCATACTTTAATGGTTCCCTTAAACAGTAAATAGATATATCCCAGTTGCCCCACAGGCCACTGGGAATAGTGCAAGAGACTGCAGAACAACTGCAGAGCCACTTCAGGCAAGATCAATACAAAAGCTTTTATCTATAGTTTCATTACACAATTCTTCATAGAGTTATTTGACAGCATGAAGACAACGAAAAAAAAAAAAGACAAAAAGCTGAAGGATAGAGAAAGGCACCAAGTCTACAAAATCCAGTTAATGCTGAGTACCTTGTTCAATGGGAACACCGAAAAGCCAAACATTTTAGTACAGATTTTCTCCCCGCCTCCCTTCCATCAGTTTCAGATCTAGCAAAAAAAAAGGCACATTCCAGCTTCTACTCTTACAAAGAAATAAGTTTACCTCTTAGGGTTCTTTTAACCAGAATTCCTCCAAATGCCATGTCAATGAACAGCAATGACCACTTTGATCATGTGGAGAGAAAGGGTAGCAGTCAGGGAGGACATGACAAGCATGTCCTACGCCTTTCTATGAGATTATTGCATCTTGATTGGCAGAGACAAGTAGCAACAGGCCAAAAACTTGACTAAGAGCAGTGTTCCTGTAGGTTATCTTCACTATTTTTATATATATTATATAGAGTGCTAAACAAGTAATAAATGTCTCTCAAGGAAAAAAAAAATGAGAGAGATGGATTTTAAAGGGCACTACTTGGTGCAAATGAGTCTTCAGTTCTGGATTCAAGATGAAAACATATTATACATATATTCTTTAAAATATTTGTTTGGTTTTTTTAATGCCTAAAGATCCATTTTCTTTTAAATCTTTGGATACGTTTTTAATCTCCTTCTCTTTCACAGCCATTCATATCCTTGGCAGCTTTTTTATTGACTGCACCAGGTCCTGCAGTAGCCTGTTTCAGGTCTAACTTAAATTTCTAATGATGCTGTGCCAGAGTTAATGAATACATGGGATAGTCTGAACTATGAGAACATCCTAAGAGGACATGAGAAACTCAGTAGAAGCTCAGAAGCAGAAAAAGCTCTCGGTTTAACCTAAGAATGAGCAACACTGCTGACAGTGAGCAGACTGAATTTGCAACAGCCTTATATTATAGTATGTTAATGACTAAGGAAAAGCCCAATAAACCAAAACAGTTGCACAGAAAAAAGAAATTAACTTGATAGACAAGGTATAAAAAGAAAAATTGAAGACTATATTGAAAGATGAAGCAAGTCGCACTGGTAATTATTTTTTATTTTTTATAAAAGAAGTAGAAATCTGATAACAATGCTCAAGTTAGTGAACTATTAGAATACCATTTGGACACAGGCCTCTGAAAGACTGTTTCAAAGTGTGAGTATTTTTACAGTCAAAAAACCTGAAACTAGAAATACCACTGGACCAATCCACATTCAAAAAAGTCTCATGCCTCTTTCCCTTTTGTATGCAATCTAGAATTCAAAAACTAGTGCTCTCCAGCTGTCTAGCTGTTTGTAATTGACGATATCCTTCTCTCTTGTACTGTGCATACAGAAGTTCACCAAACAATTATGCAATCTCCCAACAATCTATTCTCAATTTATTTACTTTAATCAAACTGCAAGAATGATTAATTAACATTAAACTGATTTCTTTCATACATTTACTGGATTGAGAATGCTTTAAATGTAAACTGTCTGCTGTACTATTTTAAACCCACAAACAACTTACATGTGGTGCACTGCTTTAAACTTAGTTTTGAACTTTACCACATTTTCAAATACCTGCACGCTACTGTAGGAAAAAAGTAATTCAGCCAAAAAAAGACTGGTGGATAACCTTATTGACATTTTTTACAACAAGGAAACACTGAAACAAATATAATTCCCTCTTTTTTTTTTTTTTTTTTTACTGCTAGCTAAGAGCTAGCGTGACTAAGAGCTTCAGGAGTTTATTTGTTGTGCCGCCTTCTTCCTTATCTTGGTATTGTAGGCATGCTGCTGGTTCTAGTGGTTAGAGCTGATGTTTCAACAATCTCAGCTAGAAAAAATCAAAGGAAGAAAACATTTAGTTCTCTGCATATCTGTTCTTCCACAACCTACAAATGACAGGACTGTAATGATATCGTGTAAGATATAGTGTATGTTGATACCTTTTCCTCTATCATAAAACCAGAATGCAATACATGAAATAATAACTACCTCTATTTCATTATCTGACATGCTTAATCAGTTGAGTTTTTTCATTCCAAAGGAATATGGTCCCAAAGCTGCACCAACTGCTCTCCAGCTTGTGGTTCCAGCTCCTAGAAGTGACCAAGAAATTAGAGAAGTTATTAGCACTGCTGCCATTGTGCATACAAAAACTATTTATTGCAAAAATAACCACCAGAGGTTGCTGGTGGTCTTTCTGAAAGAATTGTTACTTTTGCTATTGTAACTTACATTAGAACTATCCCTGCAACAAGGGGTCAACAGGAGATTAGAAACTGTCATAAGCAATCCTCGCCTACCAGTTGTTTGGGGTTTTTTGTTTCAGGCAAAATGTCACTTCTCAAAAAAAGAATTCATAATGAAGATACCATCACTAGAACAGATGCACCATACAATTTGTGCCTTCCACAGGTCACTTCCTTATTAACTAAAGATCATTATTCGCCACATTTTTAGGTTTAATTCCATTAAATGCAGTGGAGAATGTGGAAAGGCAGGTCACAAACAATGCAGTGGCTCTTGGTGGAATCACAGATATTAATATATATCATTTATTTTTGTTATCGTTCAGATTCTTTATGTCTTAAGAGCCACTTAAGAGGAGAAGCACTGTCAACTTCAACATATTCTATGTTCCTTTCCTTGTTCTTAGAGTATGTTCCTTTCCTTATTCTTACAACTGAAGAGGTTTTGGGGAAGCAGTGAGAAGACAATACAAAAAGTTTAGCTCCAGAATCTTGTATCAAGGAGATATTTTGGGAGGGGACTGAGGAGAATGCAAAAACTGCCATAGAGAATTCTTGTGCAAATTATTTTCTGGCTTTTTGTAGTTGCATTTCGCTTTAATAAATTGGAGAACAGTACTAAGCTTTATTTGGCTTCAAATATCAAGATTCTCTTGAGACTTTATGGAAAACGCAAACCTCTAATTATGAACAGTTATTTGGGTATGACAACTATTTTATCTCGGGGAACACATCTGACTCAAACAGGAAACAAACCTCCAGAAATTAAAATAAAACCACCAACAACACCTCATTCACTTTGGAAAAATCCAGCTTTAAATATTTTTTTTAACAACATTAAGCAAGAAACTGGGTGGATTTTAACAAATCCACTACTGCAACAGTAATCCTGCATTAGCAGAAGCTACAATGCACACCAAGGAACTGTGATTCAGATTAATATATACATGAGCACATTTGAGTTCAAGGCTGAACAAACTAATGAAGAAAACACAGATCCACCAAATTAAGAAGACTTTAGATGAGAATAACTACCTGGCCATCTCTGCTTATTTGTACTTTCTTATTGTCATTCCAAGGGTTGAGCAAATGATGTGCAAACTGAAAAGGAACGCTTTCTTTTCGGATCCACTCCACCTTAAATACACCTCCAAATCCAGCAGATCCCCAGTCCTGACTTTTCTCACACCCTATTGATGAACACATTCTACCAAAACCCTGGAAGAAAAATTTAAATGTGAAAGAACGGACATAATGAGAGCATGTCTATTTATGCTAGAATTAAATAAATGAGTGGACTTCATATGAAACTTTCAAATTAGTTTCAGTGATTGATTCAAACACTCACACACATGAAGCTAGATTTTCCAAAATGTTTACACCTAGAAGTATCATTTGTTTTTTCCACTTCAAATACACCTTCTAGAATTTTACCATAAAGGATGTCTTTCAACTCATCTCTCACAATAACCGTTCAAGGGGCTTTTTTAAGCTTTGTAACAGAGGCTGAAAAGCTGTTGTAAAAAGGTATCAGTGCAAGGTATCAGGATGAATGTTCTATCCCCATTAGCTATTCCTCACTAGTAAATTGTGAGGAATAGTTTGTACTAAATTCTTTCAAAAATTCCTTCCTTCCTTCCATCCTTCTTTCCCTTATTACCTCTTTGTTAACAAACATTCATATACAATTAAAAATGTGGAGACCTGTTCTCCAAATAAATAAGTCAAAGCTGCTTAAAGTTCCTTTTTCAATTAACCTGAAAGAAATTCCAACAAGATAAATATTCAGAAATTAAATGAAAGAAACCACAAATCCAAGACGGCATCTAACTTAGTGAAGCATACCCTTTAAACACATACACCAAACACACTAAAAATAAACCCGGGCCACGCATAATGTAAAACTGTTCAGGCAAATTTACTCCAGTTATGGCTTAGGAGTCCAAGAGAGGCAGTGCACTGCCTAAAGTTACCAGCACACACTGCTGCTGTAAGTCAGGCAGTCCTAGACAGCTCAAGCCTTAAATTAAAATCAATGAAAATTAATAAAAGGAACAGAGGAAAAATACAGGTGGAAAGCAGAGACACCTGAGGCAAGAAAATATTAGCAATGGTAATCTCACATTCCCATCAACATCCAGTGCATTGTCAAAACTGGAAGGGCAAGGCAACATAATCCACCTACATCCTCACCTCAGCGTGTCCTCCCATCCCAGCTTTCCTGTCAAAGAGCATCAATACAACAGCCCGTTTTCAGATTCAACTGGCATGCTGAAAATTACTTTCCAATATGGCATTTGGATTTACCAAATCACTGTACACATATGTACATTTCACCACAATTATTCAGTGGTATCATCAAGATCTCTATGTTTGGACTGATTAATCAGATTTCAAGTTTAGCTGACTACTATTAATAGTTTATAATACATAAAGAGGTAAATTGAACTTTCTTTACTTGGAGCAATTGAGTTTAGCAGGCTCTACAAAACAGTTAACACGCACCTTTGCACTAGCAGGTCAAGTCTTTACCTTTAAACTGGCCACAAATTTGTCAACAAATTGTTGACAAATACCTCACTAAATGTGAATTCAAGACAACTCTGGAAGAAACATGGCCAGCTTCCTAACTTTGGGAAACCACAGTTCCAGCAGAACAGTTTTTATTGAAGTTTGTATTAAAGACATATGAGTTTCCTGGCTTTAGAAAGCTGTGACATGATTGTATCTTCTTGTTCACTTACAACATTTATTTTGGCATGCAGAGAAAAAGGCAGCAATCCCCTGCTTTGTATGGATTTCTTTGTTTGTTCCCCTGCTGCTGTTTTAAAGCATTTATGTAGGGTAGAAACATTATTCTGACTCATTATGTTTGGAGGCAACTTAGTTTTATCCTTTGAGGGAAAAACTGAGTTCATTAAAAGGGACTATTTTGGAGAAGAATGAAGCACTCTTCATCAGCAACCAGAGACATTGGCACAATACTCTACTTACTATAAAGTCAGAAGTCAAAAGCAAAGCCCTCCATACTGTACACAGCCATTTGCTGCACTCTCCTAAACCACCAACCAGCACCAACAGCTGGTATCAGCTAAGGACTCACCTGGAAGTGTCCAGACCCCTGAACAGAAAATATTAAGTAAACCATGCTGCTTTCCCGAAAGGCTCCATTCAGTTTTCGTTCATTACTTGGCGTAGTGGACCATATACCCTTCTGCTGAGAAATCTCAATGTTCTGCAAGTTGCTACTTTTCATTATAAAGTACCGAATTGGCATATTTTGTCTTGGTGAAGGTGATTTGGAAGCCTGAAGAATGAAATTAAATTAATAAATACAGTAACATAAACCAAGCTTTAGCTCTGAAGTTCTACACACATGCAGATAGACCCTTCAAGGAGTTTTTCCTCTCCTCTCCAAGCTTATACAAGAAAAATACTACCTATCAGCTGTTCCTGTCAGAATTGACTTGAAAGCATACTTACACCTGTTTCACATTTTTAAGAATTTTTCAAAACTATAATTTACTCATGAGGGGCAGCAAACAATTATGGCAGAACAGGCCTACAGAATCTAGTGATTAATTACAATTTTTTGCAGTCTGAGACAACTTCAGATGACACGAAATTAATCACTCTACACTGTAGCCTGCAGCACACTTGCATTTCCAATTCCAGGAAACAAATTTTCTTCCTGTAACACTGGCTGAATTTAAAAAATACAGGGAGATTTATGAAAATAACCTCACTAAAAATGTATGCTTTATTAAATAATCATCAAACAAACTGCCAAGCAGTCATAATGACGCAGATAACACAAAACTTAAAGAGAATCAGTACCAATGTATGCTATGACAGAAATAGAGGAAGACAGAATCCACAGAGGTCAGAAATGCATGTACTGTACACACCGTCTCTGTTTATTATACCAAGTTTCAGGAAAAAAAAACACCTCAAAATTGGATTTTCTTTCTACTTTGAATAGCTTTACTTCAGAAGTCCGCAAAGAACAACATTTTTACTGTATTAAATTAGTATAACAAGGATATTTATTCTTGATTTTTGATTCCAAAAGAAATATTATGTGGCTGTTAACAATGAAAATATGAAAATCTAAGTTAGGTTCTTAATTTATCAATACAATACCTGATAGTTGCTGAAAGATATCAGCAAGAGATTCTACTAATTTTGAAGAGCAGGGTAATATGTTTATGAGAACTGTACCTTTCCAGACATTGGAGAAGATGGACTAGCACAGGGGCTAGGGAAGCTGTCTGCAGACTTCACTGATGATCGATCTGACCTGTCATCTGAAGCTCGTTTGGAGTGAAAAATATTTTTTCGTTTGTAATTCTTTGGCTGATGAAGTACGGGGCGTGTAGACCTCACAGGAACTCTAAAAAGTAAAGGTAGATACACAACAGACCATGAGTTTTGTAAGAGGTCACAGAACAATTTACATCTACGTATCAGCCTCCTGGATGACCATATATATTACAGTCATTCCAAAACATTTAAACACTAAATAAAAGAGGATGCATTCATTCTGAGTGTTATGGTTAAACCTCTTCTGCTACTTCCCAAGGAGCACAACTCAACTATTTCTGACTGCTCTCCCAAACAGCCAGCACATATATTAAATAGTTCTCAATGAAATCACAACCACAGCACAGCACAGGACAGTATCAAAGCTTTCTGCTGTATTTATATTGTTTCTTTCTTCTTACAACTAGCAGAAATTCAAGTGATGTTTTTACAGGTAAATAAATTACAAGCTACAGTCTCTGGAAGATCTCAACATCTTACTTTTCAGCATTAGAGGAGTCAGAGAACTCAGTTTCTGCTGTACTTCTCCTGGTGTCAGTTGACCTCCATGTAGATGATACAAGACAATCTTCGGAAACCACAGGTCTTGGTCTCTGACCAATTCCTGAAGGCTGCTGCAAACCTGCAGACTGTTCTTCAGCAGTTAAAACAGCTACAACTGCTCTTACAGTTGCTTCATCAACTTGAGACCACGATTTAGAAGGAGTTCGCATGCGACGCAGAAATAAGCTATGCCACTTCTGCCTGAGTTGCAACAGCAAACCAGCAGCCTGTAATGAATTTCAGTTCTGTTAAAGACTAATAAAAATATATCAGTTAGGCAAAGGGTATCTTATGTCTTTGCTATCATGCAGCAGCTGGCATTCTGGCAAACTGAAAGGCAAGACTAAGGTCTCAGGGAGGGAAAGAAAATCTCACATTTAAATTATGCTGTTATCTTTTCTTTCCTCAGGTCCAAGATAATTTCTAAACCATTTCTTGCTGCACTGCACAAAACTTAAAATTCTATTGTAAACACACAGGATTTTTCATTTTTCACTTTTAAAAATTTATCTTCTCTTTAAAAGCAGTCTTTTCATGTCTAATGTCCTTCCTGCCAGTTCAGTTTGTATTTATGGGCTCTTTACACATACTTGATGGAAAAGATCTCTGGTTACTCTAGGTTCTAACACAATCAGAGCTTTGCAATAACCAAAACTTTGTATCTTCAAAGGCTGGGGTTTTTTCTTCTTTTTATAAAATGTGACAGCAATTTTCTTTCAGCAGTTCCAGTTTCAGGTGCTTCATTTTAGTCAAGCAACTTTACTCATCCTCTCAGAAAAGGAAATACACAATATGCCATTTTTACTCTCAACTCCTGCTGAAACTTTGTCTAACCCAGCTAAAGAGAAGGTCTTGTGTGCTGGGAGCACCACACAGGCAATACAGGTGACCACAAACAGCAGAAGGGCCATTGTGCAGCCACTACTCCCTGCAGCCATTTTCTTTTGTCTGGCAGTTTGTTTAGAATCTCCTAACTTACGGAAATGGATCAAACTGCCAAGTTGGAAATCATAAAACATCAGCTTACCCAAACTGCTTTGCTGCAGACTGCTTCAAAGCAGATCCAACAGCAGCTGACTGCTGAGGCTTTTCTGCTTCTATGTGGGACAGCTGCACCATGACAGAGGAAGAAGAATGAACACTCTTGCAGTCAGCTAGGTAAGTAATTCTTTCTTCCTTTTTGCTCACAGGTGCAAGATTTAAGAGTTATGCATTGTTACAATCCATAGGAAGCCCTACAACTTGGATGTTGAATGTGTGAATTCACACGAATGACTAGCCTGGGCAAAAGACGATTGAGTCTGTGTTTGTATGTTTTTCATATTTTTTACAGAACTCATAAAATAAAGGTTAACTCATTTAGTATGTTTTCCTGTAAATTTGAGAGACCTGAAGGGATCACAACAGCCATTCTTACAGTAAATTTTTGGTTATCCAACTGTTTTAAGAATCTTTTTAGGATGGTATGGCATAAATATTCTCCTACACAAAACAAGCACGGAAGTGATAGATTACGTACTTCAGAGTCCAGTTTGAGGTGAAGCCATTCATCTACCTTCAGTAGTGATACATTAGAAGTTGTTCTGTCCTCCATCTCACTGTCACTGCTCTCACTGTCTCCTGAATTAAGTATAAAAGGTGCATTAACATTTCTGTATTATTTACATTTACATACAAAAGCTTGAACATTACTATATTACCAGCAATAAGCTAATTTTCCTTCAAAATTTTCACTTAAAATGTACAAATTTGTACACACACCTTTTCACTTCTGCATATACACCTCAGGGAAGGTCTTTGCTTCAGTTAGGAGAACACATTCCCAGACCTCTTAAGGGCCCTACTACATAAAAAGCTATACTGATGTGATCTGACTCCTTCATGTACTTTCATCAATAACAAGCCATTATGAAACTTTTGCCTGAAGTTGTTTGTAAAACCACACATTGCTCTATGCTTTATATCTTAGTATAACAATTAAGAAAAAAAAATTGTAAGTGCACATGGCTATTTAGGATTCCTTTTTCAAAGTGCAATTCAATCAGTATTAACATTATTTTAAGGGTAACATTTCGGAGCAATCAGGAAAGACTCTTACTTCAAACTAGTATTTCTACAGAACTGACAACAGTTTATTTTTGCTTCTATTCTTACAGCACGCCATTTAAATATGAAAAAAAAAAATTTAAAAATTCTCTACTACTTCTAGGTAATAATTGGGTTAATTGACATTAAATATTATAAGTAGAAAATAATCTTTAAGATGCATGTGTCAGCTGAAAGCAATATGATTATCTGCCATGTTAACTATAACTATATTATTCAGTTTGAATCATCTGGTTCAAAGTATCAAATAAACTAGGCAGTAGAAAAAATATACATACTACACTTCTCAGCATTAGTACTGTCTTTAAACATTTTGGTTGCATTTTTTATTTTTATAAAACTACTGAAATTTCTGAGACCCCAGAACCATAAACTTTATGAACTTACAAGGATTCACAAAACTCAAGACATTTGTTGCACAGCCTCTAAATTATTCCTCAACAGCTACAGAACTGTATATAGCTCTGCTATTTCAAGAATTAGCCAAATTATGTAGAAAATAGACTTGAAAAATAAGTTTTCCAAATCACGTACTAGTACAGTACCAATGCAAACGTTCCAAATCCAGACTCTGGCATACCTTGACGGGATGAAGATGCCTGTAAAGCATTACTTGGTAACCTAGCTGGTCCACAGAAGAGAGCCACAGTGATGGGTGTTACAACAGAACAGCACCTGATGTTTGCTATCCTGTGAGCTCTCGTCATTTCATCGTATATCAGCCAGTCTGTAGGGAGTGCCTGAACAGCTGCAGTTTGGCCATTCACTGGGGGAATCTGTGCAGGAGCAAATAAGACTAGGTTATTTTATCGTCTATGTGTCATTAAAATACATTTTAAACTTACTTCCTACTTTACATATGTAGAAATAAATACCTAAATATTTAAATACACAAGAATAAGAAAAGCACAAGTATATTCAACCTGACTTAAAAGTTATCCTATCACCTTGAAGGAAAATATTTTGCTTTAAAAGAGGATCTAAAGAAACACCAGTTTCAGAGAAGAACTTTTTCCTCATAACAATCAGCAGAGATTGTAACCTCATCCAAATACTGCTACAACTAGCTTTTTCTTTTTACTATTTTGCCTTGTTCCACTTAGCAGAACTAACTGAAATACTGGAAAAATACATCAACTCAAATTTTTCATTCTACCACCTGCCAGAAAAAGTATTTTCTAAAAAGTTTGAAGTGTCTTTACCTTTTTATACTGAGGTTGACTAAGAACAGAGGTTGGATGAAATCGCACTTTCTTCTCCTTTGGTGCAGTTAAAACCAGGCTCTCTCGGTCTACATGCACAAGATTGGGATACATCCCGGCCACTAAGGCAGCTTTAACTACAGCCCAGTTTTCAGAGTTAGCATTAACATCTCTAATATCAGCTCCTCCTCTGGCTCTAACAAAACCTGAAGAAAGAAGGAGGTCAAAAGTGTGTTATATTTGTTTGTATTTAAGATCTGCTTTTTTGCTTCTCAAAACGAATTTGAAAAAAAAAAAAAAAAAAGTTAAATAAACTACAAATTAGTTGCATTTTTCACAACTGCCAACATTAAGAGCACCAAGAAGAAACCCTTACACTGAAATCCTTCCTGGTAAGGGGTTTCATACTAATGTAGAATAGAATTACTTTCTACAATACTTCTTAACAGAATATTAGAAATTGTGTAGTTTAATTGCAACTTGCTTACAACTTAGCATGAGTGGACCCTGCTCAAAACCTTGAGTAGGTGAACTCTAAATATAGTGTAGGTGAACTGTTTGTTAGCATAAACAGCTAAACAGGGGAAGTAAAAGATATCTTTGGATAAAGGATGAGACCTTGGAGGGCACCAAGGCTGGCTCAAGCTGTCATATAAGAGCAGGTAATGGGCTGCCCACACTGCGTCAGTGGAAGACCCCATAAACTGCCACTGGATCAAGAGAAGCATGCAAGGAACAAGCAGGGCACATGAAGATCAGGCACACTGACAGTAAGGGATAAAGGGATTTCATTATTCAGGACACTCTCCAGGGACAACAAGCTTGAGCTGAAATTAACTGACTCTACCTCAGAACCTAGGGTTTGAACTATGGCAGTCTTAACAACTGCCTCAGCAAAAACTACAAGATAAAAACCCAAGGAAACATGTCTCACACTGCAGGATAGCAGGATGTTGAACAATCAGGGTGCTTTCAGCTGCTCTCCAGCCACATTTTCTCGCCCTAACACCTCCCCATGCCCAGCATTAATATGTACTGGTCTTTTTCAACTTACGAAGGAAAATGACAAGAGAATACTATCTTCCTTACAATTTGTAAACACCTAACTCCAAAATTATGTTAGAACTTTTTCTAACCTATTTACCTGAGGCTCTAAGCTGGCCAAGCAACTGTGTTCTCATTCCTACGATGATTTGCATTGTGGCTTGAGACAGGAAGTTCTTTTCACAGAAGGTTCTCTCCCAGCCATCACTGCGTGCCTTCTGCCACGCCTGTGAAGAATAATTTTTTAATGTTTGCCTACTAATTTAAATATCTAAAATTTAAAAATGCAGAGTTCTAAAAGCTACATTTATGTCAATAAAATTAACCAAAGCAAATGTATGAAAACCTGATTTATTTAACTACTAGATTTTTTATCTCCCATTCCCTAACCGAAACACAATGATAATTATGTTATTTTAAGTTCATTATGTTATCATAGAGATCACTATGTCAAGGTCACTATTTCAAGTTATCCATGTAACAGGATATAAAGTGGCATCTTGCTGGAACTTACAGAATGTAACCAGGTTTGAAAAGGTCAGACAAAATGTGTCCCTCAGAAATCTGTGAGTCCAAAATACAGAAAGGCCACAGTCTACCATTCTACACCCAGCTTGGCTGGTAGGTCAGTTACTCTGATGAGCGAACAGTCCTCATTCTGAAAGGATACCTGAAAAGCCCTGAGAAGCACCATGTGGTCGCTGAAGGTTCCTGCAGTAAAACGCTTCCTGCACAGCATGGCTGCCCGCTTTTGAGAGGCCAGCGTGGGCAGCACGAAGGGGTCTCGGTAGGCCAGAGCACAGGCAATGGTGAGAACAGGATCCAGGCACTTCAAAACAACGGCGCACAACACCATTTTACCGAGGTGGGGCTCCACTGGCAATTCAGTGAGATGATAACCAAGCTCAGTCAGATCTTCCCAAGGGTCCATGGCATCTATAGTCTGTTTGAAAAAAGAAAAAAGGTGGGGATGTAGGGAAAAGAAGAAGAAGAAGGGGTAAGGGGGCAGAATTAATTTACAATGAAACCAGAAAGGATATGAATATTGGACATTATCTACATTTTCTCCCAAACACTAAAGAAGCAAGTAAAACTAGTTTCAATTCAAGATTTTACAGCAGTCCCTCCCCTTAACATGGAAAAATACATACACACACAAAATGAAAACCAACAAAAATTCAAAGTATCCTTAAATAAGTGAACAAGACTTTCAGTACAATTAAAAGTCAGTAAGATATGTTACCACACCATAAATACTAATAAATACAACTCCCATCTACATGTATTCCTCTGCTGACCTTGAGCATTTGCAGAGCATTTTTCACAATTAAAGCTGGTGGAGGATCAGGAGCTTTCATAAGAAAGTCTACAACTGGACAATTAATTGGAGCCAGAAGTTTTGTGTGCAAACAAAGCTCCTGCAAATTAAAAAGAAGAAAAGTACTATTAAGGTTTGGGAAAGAGAAAATACTTACACACCTTTTTGGAGTTGTTAGTATGGTCTGGTGAAAATACATTTTGTAGAAGTTGTAACTTCTAAGTGAACACCCACCTGAAGTGGCATTCTTAGAAGTTCTGGAGTCTGAAATTCCAACATATTCTCAAATCGGAGCCTGCTGAAGAGGCGAAAACAGACTCCAGGCTGACAGCGTCCAGCCCTGGAAAATAAAATGGGACAAGCTGTGAAAATTAGAGTTTCTTTTTTATAAAAATACAACCCACACAAACTTAGAATGCAAATGCAGAAGGCCTAAGAGAATGGTAATTTTGGTGTTAAGAGAAAGTGCCTCATATGAATCAAAAGACTTTTCAAGTACATTAATTATTTTTGACAGTATGAAAATTTATATAATTTTATTATAAGAAAATACTTTCAATAGTTATTATAATTTTAAACCTACACTGAAAAATCTGGACAAAAAAGAAGTAAGACCTATCTAAATAAAGTGATATATTTTTTTTGCTAACTTGAGATCAAACCAAATCTCAGCCATCTTGTGCCATAGGGAACTTAAGTTGCCAACTTTGTTTCTTCTCCTCAAATACCCCAGTTAGAGGTCTAGATGTAAATGCTAGCGTGAAGACCCTAAAATGTGCGAATGAAGGAAAAGAGACAGCAAATGCTCACAATTCATGCTCAAAAACCTGGAGGATAATTACAACATTTTATCCCCAAACAGGCATTTGTTGCTATCTACACAGCAACACTCAGCCCTCACTCAGGGCGCTGGGAAGAGTATGATCCTGAGCATCCTGATGAATATGCAAAGTCATGAATACTTTGGAGATAGTCAATAAGGAATCACTTCTCAGTGTCACTTCTAAAGAAGGGATGCCAGGATACCAATTAAAAACTAGCAGTAGGCAGTCCTTTGCCCACAGACAAGTTACTGCGGCTGCTGGTGCTACATGGCAGAAAGAAGAATTAAGCTCATGGAGGAGCAACAACAACAACCTAGACCTAATGTAAGTTCTGGGACATTCCTGAGTGCTGCTTTTCTGTATCTTGGGAAATTAGTCCAAGAAAATATATGCTCTTAATTTACTGCAGAGAAGTATTAGCCATTGTTCAACATCACACTGGACTAGCCTAGAAACACTACCCAGTGTGGCTGCTATAGATTTGCACTTTACTCTTAATATATGGGATGGTGAACATCTGCAAAGTAAAAATCAGTACGAAGCATTTATTACCTGCCTTTTCTCTGGATAGCACTGGCTTTTGAAATCCACACCATCTTCAGCATTGTAACACAACTCAGTGCATCAAAAGACTTCTATAAAAGCAGAGCAAGGAACATAAAATCAGGATTAACCATGATACATGAAATGAAAAGTTATTAGTAAGCTTTTAACAGAAGTTCTTTGAAAAACAGAAAAAATAATTTGAACAAACACCAGCAGCTTCTGGCACAAAGGTATGCTCTGAAGTACCTCCTTTCGATTGAATATATAATACATGTTTTGCATTATCTTTGTGCCATAGTTTCCTAAATTGAAGTTTTATTTCTAGTCTCAGTAGGTAATTTTGAGTCAATAAAAGATATGGACTGTATTTTGAATTATCACAAATCAGGAAAGAAACATTTTGTTGTATTGATTAAAGTCTTCTCCTTTGTCTCACCGTAACTTTGATGCAAATTTACAGAAAAATTGTATTACCATAGGAACTTTAAAAATTTGGCATGTATCTCCCCCATGAAATCCAACTTCATTTTCAAAGACATAAGTCTTAAACTACCTCATCATACTATCTGTCCTTTCCTTCACATGCAATTTGGGAATGGGCATTCAACACATCATAAGCAATACTTAAAAACTTAATGGGTTTGATTTGGACTTGACACAATAGTAGGACAAAGGTAACTCCCAGTGCTCTCTTAAGTCTCAGGAAGATGGTGGTCTAAACAGATGGACTTGCTTCAAAACAACTAAGAGAAATTGTAAATTAAAAAAAAAAAAACATTAGCATTTCAATCTGCAATAGTTTTTACAAGGTTTATTAACACCTAATTATTTACAATATTTGTCATAAAACAAATGTCAAGACTTCTGTGATCTTTGTTTCTTGACATGCACTAGCTGTCAGCCTACTATAAGAAAACAGTACTCTAAAATTTACCTCTTATATATTATAGAATAACACTGGGAAGTTTACTTGTCACAGAAAGTTTTAACTAATCATACCTCTTTCACCTTGCCTGAGTCAATAACAAATACAACATCATTGACTGTTATGCTGGTTTCTGCTATATTTGTAGAAAGAATCTGCAAATAAAACAACCAAAACCATAGTTAAAAGCAAGACAACAGAGATTAATACAGTATCTGACAAAGTCCTCTAAAACTTACTATTTTGCGCACACCAGGAGGTGGACTTTTAAGCACTTTCTTCTGATCCAAAGTCTGCATATTTGAATGAAGCATGAAAACCTGGTATCTAATGCAAGACAAAGAGCACATCTAAGTATTTATAAAAGATGCAATGAAAACCTCAACCACAGGAACCAGAGGCTTTACCTGTGCACATTGTCCGCAAATCTCTTGTCATCAAAAAGAATACGATCCCTCAGGCTAACTATCTCATCATATCCAGGAAGAAATATTAAAATTGCTCCTGAAAAAGAAGCGGGTTTGCAGAGTTAAGCAGCAAATTCACTTAAAATACGCATCAGAACTGTACATAGTAGCATTTGGAAGGTTTCACCTATTTAGTGTTTCCAAAAGAAGGGCAGGATTTGTCAAAGGCTGAAAGTACAGTAATTTACCAGGAGTGTGTGTTTATACTTACCAGTCTCACAACTATGACAGATGTTATAAAGCAAGTGCATAATGAGGTCAAGATCCACTTTTTCATCATCAAAACTGTGATGATAAGCCGTCAAGAGTTCTCTGTCCTCTGCACTAAGGTCACTACCACTTGTTCGGACCAGGGAACTTTCATCCAGATTTCCAAATCCTGCTGAAGCACTGAAATAGAAAAACGCACAGACCAGAGTCAAGGCTGTTTGTTTCAGGTCTGCATTCAGCCACCAACTAAAATTAGATCAACACCAACAAGACTACTCCTTTCAAATTTTAATTTTAAAGAGTAGCAGAACAGCACCTCCAAAATACTATTACTATTCACCGATTTAAGTGTAATCCAACAAAGCATGAAATTTCAATTTTTAGCATAACTTTGATTTTCTTACTCTTTTTTAAAACACAGTCATAAGCAAAGTGTCGGAACTCAAAGTATAAAGACACTACTTGTTTACCTGTTAAATAAAAAGTATTTTAAATAAATGTTTTCCCAAATGTTTTCCTCACATGAAGAGGTACTACACAAATGGAAACTATACTAAAAAGTGTTCTAAAAATACTAATCTCTACAAAATGATAACTGAACTGTAACTGCAAGGTAATCAGAAACCAATTCTTGAATGACTTAGTGTAAATGTTACATTAAATTTCTTTGTTATAGCTACTATGTATAGACAACAAAGTATAGATAAAAACACAACACGTTTGTTTCCTAAATAAGCATCTGAAATTAAAACGGTACACGGTAGAGTCATTATTTCTATTTATCTAAGTCAGTATACTCGTATCCTGCCTAGACATATAATCACGATAGCAATGCCCAAATCAAAATGATAAAAATTAATAACATGAAAGAAGTCTACACCACTCTAACTATATTTATTCTAGGATTTGCACAAACATAATCAATGAAATACACTGAATATAAACACTTTTTTTAAAGAGCATGTTTTCGAAACATTCCTGGTCTCAAAGAAATCCTGCTATTTAGGTCAGATTTAAAGGCATAAAAAGCTAAAAATTGTTCTGATTAGAAGACGAAACGCAAATTTCCCTTCAACATTTCCCTTCAACTGTTTCTGCAAAGTAGTTATAGCTCACCCGTAGGACTCCAACAGGTCAACAACCTCTGTCTGTCCAAAGTGCTTAGCCCAGTCCACAGCCATCCTGAAAGAGTACACAGACATCTTTTTTAAACTTCTCACTTCAAAAGACACACAGCCTAAGACTCTGAATTAAGAAGTCAGTTTATAATTTCCAGAACACAATGTGATAAACAGAAGTTAGAAAATGCTTTGAATGTCAAAATTTACTATTGCTTACAGTAGTCTGTTAAGCTAGCAATTAGTTTAAATGTTAAAGAAATTTCTTTCTCATTTGTATACTGACAAATGAATTTATGTTTTGGTTTGTTTGTTTTTACCAGCCATTAGATGATTTGCAGTGGATATTTGCTCCCATACTGATCAGCTGCTCTACTTGACTCAAAAAGCCTCTCCCTGAAGCAATCATTAGTGCAGTCGCACTGGTTTCACTGTGCCTATAATCAACTGAGAATTACAAATAAATAAATAAAAAAACAAATAAAGCAGCAAACCAAATAAAAACATTCTTACTTTATCACCTAAACACAATATGAATGTGGCTTATATGACTTTTAAAATCTAGGCCAGAGAGAATTTGTTTTCTGACTTCATCCCACCACTCAGTTCATATGAATTTAACACTACTTTAGACACACTGTAATGTCTGTTAATACTTCAAAACAAGTACAAACAAAATCAACTAAACAATTCATTAATTCCGCTAATTCTATTCACTTTTCCAATAGGCACAAGAATTCAACCCAAACAACATTTGAAACTGGAGATAAAGCAGCCACAGAAATTCAAGTCATTTTGTTATTGTTTTTTAATTATGTTATAAGATGACAGACTTACCACTGACATTTTCAGTTAAAATGAGATGGAACACCTGAGCAAAGGCATCGATATCTTTATGCAACCAGATGTCAGAAAGACAAGAATCCATTTCTTTTATTAACCATAGTTCAAGGCAATTAGCATCTTTTTCAGTCTGAAGAGGAAAAACAGTATTGAAAGACAGATGTCTTCTAAGATTTATCTTTATTCTCATATATTACACATCAAAAAATTGAACAGCTTGTTTTCCAAGTAGCAATCAGAAATCCAGCATTCAGGTACCAGTTAAAGCATTTACTGCATCATGCAAATACTTTATGCAATGGCAGTTCAGCTATTTAAGCTGAAGAGACGTAGTGCACAAACCATTTTAAGTGAAAAGCATACTCTGACTATAGTAGTTCTTGATAATTTAAAAAAAAAGCATCTATAAAACATGTTAATGCCATTCAAGAAATTCTACAGGACTAGTATCTTTGGAAAACAGTTTTTAAAGTAGATTTTAAAACACATCTCCCAACAAAAGGAAAAACTTACCAGTTGATTAAATACTGTGTTACCGTCATCACCCAAAAGACTACACTCTTCAGCCCTTGGGACAAATCTTGGTCTCTCAGGTTCCAGCTTAGTATTATTTTCTCGAGCAGAACACCACTCAGTAAGAGTGCTTTGCTGTTTTTCTTCTACAATTCATAAAGAATTTCCATGAAAAGTTTTAATCATCCTAATTATCCATTAATTTAAGTTTAAAAAAACTGCAATATTTAATTACGAAGTTTAAACTGTTTGAGCTCTTATTTAATCTAGAACATTGTTACCAGTCCAATAAAAATTCCATTATTAAGGGCACCCAAAGTGCATCACTGCAAAAATCTGCTACAGAAACAAGGCAAGAAATATCACTTGGTTGCTTAACCCATTAAGCCTGCAACTTGCTGCATTAAACAAGATTCCCAAGTAACTTCTACACAATTCTCAATCCAGATCTTTCTCCAGAAGTGAAATGCCAAAGAGCAGTGATATAACTCTTGCATGTAACAACTACTTTTTGCGTACTGGTAAAAGAAACAGTAGAAGCCATCAGTGCCCCAGCTGAGCTTTTCCACCCACAGTGACCAGAGCTGAGCACCATGATAAATGTGTAGATAGCATTGTATGTTACAGCTTTGGGGTTGGCCTTTTTAAACATTTTTTTTAATACTCATGAGGAGAATTACTTTCAGCTATCAGGAAAACGTCTCAAATATTGTGATCAATATACCCAAATACTTAATGAATTGCAAAGAACCCCCTATATTTGGTTCAAGTGTGTTACTGCTCCTTGACCTAAATATGCTAAATGCACCCATGTCTGAAGAATACACTTAAAAAAATTAATAGTAGAAACCACTTCTGTGCAAGATGTACAAAATCCCGCCTCCTCTAATGGCTACATTTAAATTTGCACCTAAATGTCAGCATATTGTATCTTATGTTTCTGTAGTGTTCACGTGGGCAAAGCCACATGTGTATGTAATTCTACTTCATAACAATTAGGAAAAATATAACATTTATCAACTAAAAGAAGTAAGAATTAACCACTGAAAGTAAAAATACTTTTTTCAATCACAATTTACATCTACAATGTAAACACAGGGTTTTAAAGATACATGCTGTCATCTAATCATGTCTCATTTAACAATCTGATATCAGAATATTAACAAAGAATCATTTTACTTGTTGTTGAATCAATCAATCAATGAGACTCATTGTCAAGCCATAACAATTTACAAGTCCACCAACCTTGCTGCTTCTCTTTTTTGTACTTTACCATCTCTTTGTTTGTATACCCAGTACTTCGTAAAATGTCCTCCAAAAACATCTCTTTAACTTCAAAAGGTCTTCCTTGGACTAAAAGAAGAAATAATTCATGAAAGATTAGATATTCCCAAGCTTCGCTTTAAGAACATCAGTTCTTAAAAATAGTTTTTATAGACAGGAAAGTGAATTAAACATGATTAGGGTCTGATTTAATGAATTCTTATATTCATTGGAAAGTCTTCTAAGAGTATCTTCACTTGAGATTATCTTCTTTAAGCAACTAGGCCACAAGAAAAAATTGAAAAAGGAAATGCCAGGTGTGTACCATGTTTTTCATCAACCTCTTCAATTCTATTAAGTGCTAATAGCAAGAGATGTAAGATTGACAGTTATTTACTGCAATTTTACCAAATGAGAAGAAAATAAGTCATTTTGTTTAGGAGTACAAAAAAGAATTCACTGTGTTAGCCATCTGAATTACTAAATATAAGATCACTTAAGACAGTTTTAGCATAAGATCCCACAAGCAGACTGCCATGTCTGTATTCAACTACCTCCTTTCATGAGAAGTATATGAGGAGATGGACTTCTCCCAATGTCCTCAATTACTGCAGTCAATTTTGGCTTTCTTTGGTGACTTCTTCCCATGGTCTTTCTCTCATAAGAACTTACTCTGATTTCTCTTTTAACATCACTGGTTTCTAGACCTTATTTATGGATATTAAATTATGTTTCTACACAGGAAGAATTCGTATCTATGTTAGGTTCCTTAGCAGATACTTACCACAACTAAGTTCAGATCACCTAGGACTTATCTCTCCTACAGAAAGAATAAGCTACAGCTCACATATTTTTAGAAGCTGTCATAGAGGAAGACTTCTAACACTAATCACAAACTCTGTGTTCTAAGAAACCCACAAAGAAAAAATGTTACTGTGGTGAGGATTGTGTCAACTACACTGCTGAAGAATAAAACCTTTTTCATGATATTAATAGACAAAGTATCTAAACTCTCTTAATTCTTTAATTAGCAAAATTGGAAAAAGCATCTTTTCAATTGTGATTATCCTGTGAAGTCCAGTATGTGATAACAGTATAACCAATGCAGTAAACCGAAGAAAGGGACAGTAGCCAGAATTTCCAAAATAAATCTATTGATCTAACAGGATGAGAAGCTGCAAAAAAAGTAAACTGGAAAGCCATACAAAAATTACAATGAGGTTTTTCTGCCCCCCCAAAAAATTGCCAAATATTAAAATCATGTGTAACTTCCAGATTCATGCCTCCAACAAGCTGCAAGCCTTATTTTCCTAGGCAACAATTTAAACCCGAAAACCAGAAATGAACACTTTTACGCATAAATAAGAAAAAATAACTCTTTCTCATTAACATCCCATAAAATTAACCAATGAATTGTGTAGAAAATTCTAAACGAAGCAAAGAATCATGTGATTAAAACATATACCCCAATTTGCCTAGGACAGCATTTCTGAAATGAACAGATAAGAGTTATCTGAGTTTTTTCCTCTAACTAGAAGCAATCTCTGATGCCAGAAGTAGAATCTACTGGAATATACTAAAAGATATCACACTCTTGCAAACCCCAGTGTCTGTATCGCTATGCAGACCAGCATTTTAAGAACCTTTTCCTCCCTGAATTGAACATGGAGGGGATCAGGACATCCCTACATTTACAGAATACCCATTGATAAAAACAATTCCCTCTGAGGTAGATGCAAATAGTTAAGAAATAACAAACATAAGTAAACAAGGAACAAGCACTGCTGGTAACTCTAAGTGTATTTATCACATGCCTTTACTCAAAATGGTTTGGTACAATTCAGTTAACATCTAGGAGTCCCAGTGCAGGTATACTGAGATTTAAGAGTTTACTTAAGTACTTACTGTGTATTACTGGGCAACATCCAAAATACCTAATAAAGAGGTCTGCATCTAGAGCAGCACTAGAAACAATTAGTTTTAAATTAGCTTGGCTTTGCAACACATCTCTCAGTTTTATTAGCAAGAAGTCACTAAACCTATCCCTCTCATGTACTTCATCCTGTACGAAAGGAAACAAAAAAAAAAAAAAAAGGAACATGTAAACATCACAGATCCAAGATCATAACTTTTCACAAATATTATTTTTCTAAAACTAAAACATGTAATTTGGTGGTGCACTGCAGAGGTATTAAAATGCTTAAGTTTAACTTAAGAAGAATATTTTTAAAATCTATCCGAAAGTAAAAAACAATACTTCAAAGACTGCACTGTAATGCACAACCCATCATGGACCTTCATTTCAGAGATCAAAAAGAGCATCTGAAACTTCTCTAACTCTTGCACTTGAATCGCATTTTCAAGATAAAGCCACAAACTGCAAATCCTGAAATCTTATTTCAATAAAATTACTGTTTACAACTGCTGAGAATTAAAAAAAAAAAAACTGTATGATACCACATAACAATAAAAATCAGATAGATTTCTTAGATCAAATAAATTATGCACAAAGCTTACCATTAAGGCACATACCTGACTAATCATCTTTGCCTATCTTCTGTTTAGTTATATATTCTGAATGTACGAATCAAGAACAAGACTTGCAGGCTGAAGTCAAGAATGCACAAACCATTCTTATGCTTTTTTCCTCCTTGGTAAACAGACAGCCACCTAAACTTACCATGGTTTTTTCTTTTTCAGCAGTGGAGAACTTGCAGCAAACATTCTGGTTCCACTGACTTATCAAACTCCACAACAGGAAGTTTACATAATCATACATGAACACAAATAATTTGCTAGAAATTAGACTACATTTTATGTTGAAAACATTGGGCAAATAAAGGGACTGCACACTTGGTACTGCAAAATCAAGTACATGATAACAGAAATTCTGACACACTTGTATTGAACCTTCCTAAGGCTTTTCTACTGACAGAGGAAATTCAGAAAAATTCAAACCTCCACAATCACATCACAATTCCAAAATTAACTGCTGACAAAATCCTAATATAAGATGCTTTTAGAAGAAAAAAATAAAACCCCAGAAAAATATGCATATTACAATAAAAAAATCAGTAACTCTTTAAAGTTAATTCAGGTTCTAACTTAACAAAAACAGCTTTCATGTCCATCAAATTAATACAGAAAACTAGGGGCTCATCTTCCAATTAAGAAACAATAGATACTGCTCCATCTCACAGGAAATATGAGATCCTTACCACAATAACATGTGTCACGGTTGATAGGGTGCTGTCTCCTGCCATCAATGTGCGAAGCAGTATGCCATTAGTGCAAAAGGTTACCAGTGTCTTTGGAGAAACCCTAGTGAACAGTGAACAAAGATGCTTCTGCTTTTTTCACCATTTAAATGCTGCTAGCTTTCCACTATTTACTGAAAATTAAAGACTGAAGGGCTCCTCACCAGAAGTGGAAGCATTGTTCTGTCACCAAAGAGTTCATGCATACTTATTTGTTTATAAACTACACCTGTTCCCTAAGAGTTCCTAAGGGTTCTTAGTACTAATGCTCAAAAACTTCAGACAAGCGATTAATAAACAAGGAGAGATTAATTTTTTTCTAAATTAATAAGCAAGTGAAACAGAATCTAGAGAACCTTGGCATGTTGTATTAATTTACTGGAAAATTCAATGTGGACTGTCAGGTCACAATTCTTACAAATACCCTCAGATATAATCTTTGTCTACATGTGGCAGGTTGACCTTGGCTGAATGCCAGGCACCCACCCAGGCTGCCCTATCCCCCTCCCCTCAGCTGGACAGGGGAGAAGGAATTCAACAAAAGGCTCAAGGGTCAAAGTAAGGACCGGGAGAGATCACTGGGCATCTCTCCATCATGGGCAAAACAGACTTGACTTGCAAAACTTGATTTAGTGTATTAGCAATTAAATCCAAGTAGGATAATGAGAAATAGAATCAAAACAACAACTCCCCCCACCCCACCCTTCTTCTCAGGTTTAGCTTCCATTTTTCTCTAATTCCTACCCCTCAGCACACAGGGGGACGTGGAATGGAGGCTGTGGTCAATTCACCACATCTTGTCTCTACTGCTCCTTCCTCCTCACACCAGGGATTTCTCATTCTTCACAAATTGCTCCAGTGTAGGTCCCTCCCATGTGATACAGTCCCTCAGGAACAGACTGCTCCAACATGGGTTTCCCATGGGTTCACAAGTCCCACCAGCAAAAAGTGAAAACTCCACTCTCTGTGGGGCCACATGTTCTGTCAGGAACCTGCTCCAGCACAGGCTTCCCACAGGGTCATAACCTCCTTTGGGCAACCACCTGCTCTAGTATTAGGCTCCTCCACAGGCTGCAGATGGACTGCCCCACTGGGGATTTCCATAGGTTGCATGGGAACATCCTCCCCACCACAGTCTTCACCATGGGTTGCAGGGGAATCTCTGCTTTGGCACCTGGAGCATCTCCTGCCACTCCTTTGGCACTGACCTTGGTGTCTGCAGTACTATTCCTCTCAAATATTTGCAATCCCCTCTTTGTAGTGCTGTGCAGATTTTCTTCTCAAACAAGCTGCTCCGGAGCCAACGCTCACTGCTGCCGATGGGCTTGGCCTTGGCTAGGGGCAGGTCTCTTACAGCCAGCTGACAGAGGCTTCATCAGACACGTGGGAAGCTTCTTCTCACAAAAAAACACTCCCCTCATTACCAAAACTTTGCCATACAAACCCAAAACACCATATTGGACTAAATCTCAAGAAATAAGCTGAACCTTTTCAAATGCTTTGATTTTTCAAGACTCTAAAATTCTTAAAAGTACCTACTACCTGTGGCAATGCTAGCTGTGCAAGTAAAACCAGCAATTACTTCCTCCAACACTGACACTTTAAGTACTGAAAACTTCCACAAAAAACTGTAGAGTACTAAACAAAGGAACACACATATATATGTCTCTATTTCAACTTTGGAATTCTTTTTTCACTTCAAAAATACTCTTACATGCTGAATTAATGGAACACATACCAGATGGAAATGCTTTACTTTTTTAATCTTGTCACTCCTTTTCATTAGCCTTCTAGAAATCACCCCTACTGTTTAAGACACTAAGACATAAAAAACCGCATTTCTGTGTTACTGCAAACACTTCCATCCAACACTTTTTGCCAAGACGGAAACAGTGTCATCTCTCCCTTTTGCTCTTTCTCAAGTGAACTCTTTGGTTCCTCTGCACTGCTTCCAGTAATTCTTCCATCTGACCTATACTTTGTTTTTCTTCATTCAGCATAATTCTTCCATACAATAACCATCCATCTTACTTGCAATTCATCTTAACTTGCTTCTCTAATCTTCTGATGCTCTTCTTCTAGCCTGGTGACCTTCAGTATGCATAGCAAAATTCTTCAACTTGGCTTTGCTGTTCAGGTGCATTCATTTTCATTAGAAATGTATTATCTTCATCCATATAAGCAACATAACCAGGCATACCTTTTGCCATCTTCCTCTCACCTGTATCCCAGTTGCTGCCCATTCCTGAAAATCCCACTATTTACACAATTCAAAGACTTTAGAAACCACACACAATCTTCAGACTTTCATCCATCCCTGCTCTGTTTTAGGAGCAAATTCCTCAGGTCATCTAGAATTTCTGCTTTTGCTTTAAGCATAAAAGATTAAACAGAGTAAATTTAACCCAGAGTAGATTGTTAATGCTCAACATCATTGTTCACTTTCCAATTTTGTTGTTTCCCCTTTTCTGTGCCCGACAAACTCTCCCCACCTAGCTTTTGTCACAGCATGCCAGTCTTCCTAGCTATTTTCAAATCTTGCAGAACTTTTGGATCTATCAATGTTAAAAGTAGAGAGGACAAGGAAGAAATCAAGAGAAAGCATTTACAGTTCAGTTCTATAGAACAACTCACTGCATGATACTGCATAAGACAGGAGAAAAACCACCCTTTCCAACTCTTAAACATTCATTACCCAAAATAACACATCCTACTTATACTTTACACAGTGAGATTTTACTGGGCTGCATCCCAAATACACTGTAGTTGAGATAACCAAGACACAAAACACCCATACCAGACCAACTGACTTTAAGAAATGTCATCAGTACCTGCTTTCTAACCGGATCTGATAACCAACTGTCTGGCCAACCTTTTCTCTTCTTTCTGCTGCCACTCTTTCAGCCACAGCAAGTGCTGCCAAACGTCTTGGCTGAGTGCAAAATATACGGCAGGGAGTTCCATTTTTGTGACAGTCATCAAGAATAAACTGGGGGATCTGTAACAAAGTGGTTTAAAATTTACTTTTTACTTTGACAGACTCATAACTTTTTTATCACAATGAAACAATTTACATACACCCCAGTATCACATACATTGCAAAATTACTCACAATAGGATTATCACTGCAAATGTTCCTGAAGTGGCAAAAAAGGTGACAAAAATTAATTTAATCTATTAAGTTTCATCTCTTTCAAACAAAACACAACAACGAAAATAACAACAACAAAAAATCCCAACCAACCAACCAAGAGTTGAAGCTTCTCTCTCCTGCTTCAGGGAAATCTATGTAAAAAACCCTGTAGACATTCTTTCATTGTAATACAATAGTACTCCACATACCAGGAACTAGCTTTAGAAGGAAAAGGGTATACAAAACTGTAGCTACTTTCCCTTCAATATGCTATGATTATTTTAAAGAAAAACTGATATCCGTCAGATAATGGTGCAGAATAATTTATGCTTTAAATATGTGTCTGCTGGCTTAGCATTGCAAAAACAAAAAAGTCAACTGGAATACTAGACCTTGAACCACATGAGACAACGAAAGCTTTAAAACTAGAATTTAAAAAATCCTTATTACAGAAATATTACAGATTTGGTATCAGTTTGGTATAAATACTGTTATGTTTTTTATTTCATTAAAACTTACTTGAGTAGTTTTTCCAGATCCAGTCTCTCCTACAATCAAAACAACTTTATGGTCCTTTATTATTTTAATAATTTCTTCCTGTTTTTCAAAAACTGGTAGTGATTGCCTGAAGGAATCAAGCTCGGATTCCCCTCTTTTAACAGGAACCTGGGGGATACCATCACTAAGTCGTCCACTTGTCTTCACTTCTTTGTTTTCTGTGAAAAGAAGTCAATAAATTATAAAGGAAGCTCACTAAAACACTGGTTAAAATTGTACTTAAAAATGAACACTTCTGATTTTATTAGCATCCCTGACATATTTAAAAGTGATTTTCATGGTAACACATCCTGTTATGGTGCTTGAAATAAATATAGTTCAAATAATTTTTTACTTTCATAGAAATTTTAAACACAACTGAATTATCACAGTACATTGCTTAAGTTAAAAAAGGCACAAAAAGCATAAAGAGAAACAGAAACTAAATCAGAGAAAAAAAGCCTTGGCCTTTGTATCTGTTTACACATTCCCATCTCAAGAGTTTGCCTATAAAAGATACACCAGAGAATTAAACATTTAAGTTATTCCATACTGACAAGTGTGCTTTCCAACAAAAAGACAACTTTACTGTGATTCACATGCCTTCTTTCACATCATTACTTGTCTTTCAAGACCTCCTTTCAGTCAGTCTTACATCAGCTAAGCCTAGTCCATAAGACTTGTCTTAACAGGTACCATGATGAAACATGATGCACTGAAAACCCTGGAGCCACACAGCAGTGTGATGAATCAGAAAGCAAGCAGTCTTCTGAGGAGGCTACTTCAACATCAGTATGTTAAATGCTACTCTATAATTCTTTAGTAATTATTTTCCAAAAGAATGAGCAGCTCACTGTCAATGCAATTTTAATGCAATTTTACAGGCACAATGCAATTATTTAATGCAATTAACAGATTCACGTATTAAATTACAAACACTGTTTTACCAAGACAAACACAGACTAACATTTTAAAAGAGCCAAAGACCATTCTGGAGAAGTAAAGAAAGATAAATTTTACACTATTCATTAATTTATACCCTACATCCCTAAGAAACTGCTTTTTGATACTTTTATTATAGTTCCCTCTGTTCACTAAACAATCCTATTAAACAATGAATGAACTGAGAAAGAAAATAGCAAAGGAAGCACTTAAAGAACAAACACAATGAATCAGAAATATCCATTTAAACAAGGTATACTGCTGTTCTCTGTTCACCACACCCAGCTTTGTACACAGAAACACAACATAACTTTTACAAACATAACTTTAAGGCAACAACCATGTTAAAATCATTATTTTAAAAATACGTCTTATATCAGAAGATATTGTCTTCCAGAGGACTTTATATACTCTAGAAATCAAGAAGTTTACATAATAGCCCAAGTTTACTTAACAGCTCTTACAGACCAAATCTATTTTAGATGACAAAACAAAACATGAATTCCTTATTTTATCAAGGACATTAATTCCTACAGGCACAAGAGACAGTCTCATTTTCTCTTAAGGGTATTCTTACAAGGAGTGATGGCTAACACCTGTCTCTTTAATCTTACCCCATGCAACTTGCAGAAATCTGTGCTTCACAACTGTACTTCAAAAAAAAAAATCTGGCTGAAATTGTCTCAAAGAATCAAAATTAACCTTATACAGGGGAGACACTGCAATGTGGGTGACAGGACTGCCTGAGCATCTTATGACACAGGTTTTAAAAAGACCCTATATTTATTAACAATTACAAGACAAGAAAATTATGAGGTTTGTTTAGAAAGAAGAGTGTCAGTTAGGACAGAAGAAGAGACAGAAAATAGGGAGGTTTGTTTTGGGGTTGGATTGTGGGTTGTTTTTTCAAGCAGTGTTGATTCACAAGTCCATATCACAAGACACACTGAACATACCAGATTCAACAGCATATGCATTTCCTTGTTCTGTCTTTGGCAGAAGTTCTGTTCGTTCTTTATTTGTGACAGGAAAATTTTGAATTAAAGTACAAACAGCGTGTTTTGTACCAGGAGTTAAGGCACAAGTCATTACTGCACGTTTTAGTTCTGATCCATCCTTTTTTCTTACAGTTAGGTATCGATTTGCTCCTTTTCTGGGAGAAAGGAAAAAAGGCATTTCAGGAATGCAAACTAGTTACCTCCATGTAATGATCTTTGGCAATAATTTTTTCAAGGTGACTGTCAACTTATTTTCAACTATAATGTTGGAACAAGAATCCTCCAAATAATGTCCTAAGTAGCATAATGCAACATTCACAACAGTCATCATCAAAAACAGCTTCTATTCATGCGAGGTAGTGCAGATCAGACACTGCAGACATCAGATGTCTCCCAAACTACAGCATTTGTCTCCCAAAATACAGCCAGCTCTACCAATCATTTTATCAACCAACACTGAGAGTTAGGACATCAAATTGACTTTCAGACTAACTTGAAAGATTTAGACGTTAAAAATCAACAAATAAGCAGAATAGACAAAAAAAAACCCTCCCTGCTAGTGGGATTACAATCCTTAACAAAATCCAAAAAAACATACATATCAGATCTCAGGATGTTCATTATCAAAGATTTACTATGTAGAAATGGAGCCAGAGCACTTAATCATAACACTGACCTACTTCTCAGACTGAACTCTTGACATCAAAATGCAAAGAATTGTTGTAAATGTGTTTCAAACTGAACTAACTTGTGCCTGGGCCACAACTGACATATGAACACTTTCTCAGCACCTGGCCTTATAAGTGACCAGTTTGCCTACCTGGGCATGGAACTGAAAATTAACACTTTCAAAACAACTTCTCAGGGTAAGAACAGAAGGTCACACTAAGAGCCCAGCGACCCGTCCCTGGCAAGGGTGGAAGACTGGTGCAGGTATGCACGTGCTGGCAAGGGCAGCCTCTGCAAGGAGAGGCACAGCCACCTCCAGCAGCCCTGGTGAAAATGACTCTGTCCTCTTCACATCCTCGTTTCAAGTACTTACATACACTGCTGAGAACCCCCAGAGCCTTGTCTTCTGCAGGCTGAAAAGTCCTAGCACTCTGACCCCTTCTGCATAGAGGAGATGCTCCATGCCCTTCATCAGGTTGTTGGTCCTTCACTGAACTCTCACCAGTCTAGATCTCTGTCCTCCTGGTGATCCCAGCTCTGGACAGACACAACACTCCTAGTGTAGCCTAATCAGTGCTGAGTGAAGGTGAACCATGACCTCCCTCTGCCTGCTAGCAACACTTGAACCCTCTACTATGCTTCCCAACAGAAGCACTCTTTTGGACATGCCATTCTAAGGTGCACTTTACCTGTCAACGCCAGAGATTCTATGCAAAACACATTAGCGCAGGGAAAAAAAACCAGGAAGTATCTTTATGAGAAATCTTTCTTATCACATGAAGTCCTCAAAACTGCATTTCAAACTAGTATGTTATGCGTTTTTTTACTCAGACATCAAGCAAAGCACAGAGAACATAAGGAAACACATTTATTTTTATATTTACTTCTTAAAGTTTCTTCTCTAGTACCATTTCCCACGACACTACAGGACAAGTTAAAAACACAGGTAGTTTTAACAGGGACAGCGAAATCCCACAAATTTGCACCTGAAAAAGAAAATAATACATAAAAATAAGAGTCAAGTTTACCCTTTACTCTTCGATATCAGTCCAAGAGAATGACAGAGCCGGTGAACAAATGCTCTTTCGGTTCTAGTGAAAGAAGACGGGAATTCCATTTCTGGAAAGAGAATTAAAAAAATAAAAACCCGAGCACAAAAACTCAAGAGGCAGCAGTATCCCTGACGTACGACCTGGGCACCAGGAGTTTATCAGTCCCCAAGCCCCCCATGCTTCCCTTGCACAGCGGGACCGGAGCCAGCGCTCTCCCCCGCGGGGCTCGGCCCGGGGCAGCGCGGCCGCCCGAGCTGCTCCTGCCGGGGAGAGCCGGCCCGCCCGCCCCGCTCCGCGCGGCTCCCCCACGCACCCGTGTCCTCGCCATAGCGGAACCGCTCCAGAGCGAGCTTCACCGCGATCTCCACCTCCTCGTCCACGCGGATATCCCTCAGACCTTTGCCGCCTCGGCCGCGGCCCGGCGCGGCGGGAGCGCCCGAGCCCGCGGTGCCCGCGCCGTGCTGCCGCGGCGGGACGTTCCTGGGCCGCGACATGGCTCCGGCAGCGAGCGGCGGCTCCGCCACACGCGGGGAGCGCAGGCGCTGCCCGCGGTGCAGCAGCGGGGCCGGGCGGCGCGGCGCCGTGACGCGTGCCCAGCGCCGGGCGGCAGCGGCAGGGATCGCGCAGCGGCGGGAGGCGGAGCCGCCCTGCGCACGGAAGGAAGCGGCTGGGGTGGCTCTGAGCCCGGCAGAGCCGTGCGGGTGTGCCGTGGAGCCGCTGTTGCGCGATAGTGTCACGGGCGGCCGTGACTGGAGAAGCGGCGCTGATACCTGTCAGGTGTCATGCGACTTCATGGAATGACGTTCAGTATCGCAGCCCCCAGCCTTGTTGTTTTGAATGTTTTATGGAGTCATCCAGATTTTCCTTCTCTTTCTTTTTTCCCGTCTTTATTTCTCTCCTTTCTTGTTACGTCTTGGCAAAGTATGTCTAACATATTCTCCCCCTTGGTCTGTACCAAAGTCTGTAGTGAGGACTTTGGTACAGACCGCAGGTGAGGTTGTTAGTTGTAGAAGTTGAGAGCTTGTTAGCCAACACTTCTGCAGCTGTATAGAAGTACTGGAAGGGCTAGTTGCTGGATTTTAGGTGACTGTATAGTAAAAGGATAAAAGTCCCTGACTTGTGGACTGGTGTCTTTGTTCAAGAGAGCAAAGGATTTACAGCGAACATCACATTCCCAACCAAATGGGTCATGATATGTTCAGATAGGGAAGTTTTCTCAACAGTTTGGCAATCCAAATGGGACCTCAGGCCACCACCGTCACAGTCCCCCTTATTCAAACATCCAACTGCTGTGGAGTTCATGGGGAACTGTGTGAGTTCAACTGAGATCTTTGGGATACAAAGGATGAATGCTAAAATTCCCCAAGTATATTCAACATAAACTACAAGGCTCTCAAATTATTTTTAATAAATTTCTCTAATCATTTCAGACTTTTCCTTCCTGCAGCTTTATGTACATAGTTGGTGAAATTAGGTTAGTGCGTTGAGTATGGGTGCACAGCTGATAAGCAAAAGGCACACTTAAAGGGGTTTTTAGGGTCTCTCCCAAGCTGCACAGGGGACTGAAGTCACCTGTAAGGTGTGATTGAGGAGTGTGCACAGGGGAGATTGAGGTCTCTCCTAAGGCATGTGGGAGCTGTGGTCCCCTGTAAATCATGCAGGGGCTGGGGTCCCTCAAAAGGCCTGCAAGGGGGTGGAGGTTTAGGATCAGCTGTTAAACTGGGGTCAGTCAGTCCTAAACAATAGGCAAAAGCTGTTCAGAGCAGATTTGTGAACAGCAGAACAGGTTTGTGATCCCTGCTGCTCTTCACCAGCTGGAGTGGGGAGATGAATTCAGATGCCCAAATTCAGAGTGGCACAGATGGGTGTCACAAGGCACCCAGTGAGCTGATGTAACACATCCCAGAGAAGCCATCAGGAGATCCAGGGAGAGTTCTGACAGTGCCCGGTGAGTTTCAACAGCCTGTGACCATCCAGGGGAAGGGAAAGTCCATGTCAGACTGTACCCATATCCACAGCAGGTCTGCAAGGGGAACTGCCCATATTCCAGCATTGTTCTGTGAACATGGACGGATGAACTAAATTGGGTATAGCAAGAAAAGATTGGTAGGAGAGTTGTTCAAGCATTTTAAAGGATTAAGTAGGAAACTATTTAAAATCTTGTGCTATATCATGTGCAAGCAACAGTGCTTTAGTGTGTAGTGATTCCTTGAACACATTTCAAGAGTTTATTTTGCAACTAACAAACAGGCAATTGGTGCACAGATGGACCACATCTCTGGAAAGCACACACACTGAAGGAGTTGTTCACTCTAGATTGCTATGTGCACACAGTCTCTTCAAACAGGGGGGACCCACAAAGGTCTGATGTAGAGGTATACTCATCTTCAAACCATGTTTGTGACTATTTGAAGTGATTGTTGTGGTGTAAATTTAAAATGCCATGCCAAAAGGAGGTTCTTCAGAAGTTATGCTGAAATGCTGCTTTATTTTTTGTATGTGCACGACTAGTAACTGCTTGTAATGGTGGTAATTCTGCATATATGTCCAAAAAATAATTATAAACCCACATTTTTTCACATGTGCATTTGTTTTGAGGATGGTAAACATGCAAATAATATTTGAAGACTTCCTCCAGAATATGGAGGACTGTTGCAGTTGTTTGGTAAAATTTGCTTTTCATAAACAAAGGGCATTTTCAGTGGCCTGGTTTACCAGCAAGGTTACAGGAGCAGGAAATCTTTTTAGTATTCAAAATAAGGTTATATCTATTAACTTGGGGAATTCCATTTCTTTTTCTTACAGGAGGATAATATGCAAAGAGTACTGCCTGAGCAAGAAACTGTCTCTGTTGCTAGTGTTTTGTATTGCCCCTTTGATGAAAAACAAAAGGAAAAGCTGCTGTTTTTAAAAAAAAAAAAGGTGAATGAGAAAGTGTTTTTACCCTTAGGAGGTATGTTAGGCCCCTTGAATCTGCAGGGACTTCAGCACTTACTGCACTACAATAAGACAGAAAATTACTGGAATCAGCTCTTGTTGTACAGTTCATGAAAATAACTTGTCATAAGAAAATTGTGATAAGAAAGAATGATTGTACTACTAGATTGTGTTGCCCTAGGAGAAGGGGAACAGAATGCATCTCCATCCATGTTTCAGCTGTGTCAAAAGGAAATGTAAGTATTTAGGCTGTATTTTGGGGAAGGGGCAATAAATTACAACAAAGAGAGGCCATAATTAAGATCCCACGTCTGATCACAAAAAGTAGGCTTGAGGTTTTCTTAAGAGCTGCGGCATCTGACATCCACAGATTCCTAGATTAGGGGAATTTACTAAGTCTTTGGCTGAGACAACTGAGAGAACTTCTAGAACAGCTAGTGGAGAGGTAATGCAGAAATTAGGACCTCATGAGGGATTGATTGCAACTACATACAGTTGCAGCAGGAGCACCAGTCTGTATTAACTCAGTGGCAGCAGCAGGAGAAACCCAAAGTTCTAACACCACAACAGACACATAGATATCACGTCTCAACACCTTTAATCCAAAAACCTAATAGCAGTGCCTAATGATGGAGAAAAACATTACCAGTGTGAGCAAGTGATACACATTTCAAGTAAAGCAGAATACCAAATCTGACAAAGAATATTTAGTCAGTCTGGCTAGATGGTTTCATGATAAATCCTAAAGAGGGATGCAGGCAATATTTATCCAAGTACAAAAAATATGTCCAGGAGTAGCAACCACAGGAATTTAGCTCGAGGAATTTATGCCACCACAAAAAAGAATCACAAATAGCTGCCCGACTGGACGTGAGTTTTTACGTAGCAGACTGAGCTCACAGTTAGGAAGGTGACCATGGACTGATTTCCATTCTCAGGAACTGCAAAGAGACCCTGCAGCCATGCCACCTGTGGCAGGGTGGTAGTAGACCAGCTGTCAGGCTGGGCAGAAGCCTTTTTTTCCAACAAAAAAGACTTATTCAGGAGGAATAACAGAAGCCTTCTTAAAGAAATAAGTGCTCATTTTGTAGCAAATATGATACCACAATTTTCCAGATAGAAACTTTCTACAAGAGCTTTGACTATTAGAAAGCAGGCATTCTTTACTGAAGTATGCTGGTCACTCGGAGGACTCTTCCTCTAATTAACTGCCTTGAGGGTTGGGTAAACAGAGGTTTTATCATACACACTGATTTACAACATTGTTTGCTATCCCCACTTACTTGATGTGTATGTTTTACTTTATTTTACATTGTCACACCCCCTATCAGAAGTCCTTATATGGTTCTTTGGGGGTCTTCTTCTGTGGTCTTCAATATCTTTTGTCCTTCTTAGGTGGCTGCTCCTCGACCCCCACTTTTGAGTAAGCGTAATATTGTTTAATAACTCCTGCTTTGTCAGCCTTGCAAAGCTTAGCTGGCATCCTGCTTGTCTTGCAGGACTTCTGTTTGATTAAGTTACATCCTATTTTTATTTCTCCAAGGCTATACTGTTCTGTTCTGCTGTCTTTATCAAATACAATCAATTAGCTTGCTAATAATACCAAGGCCATGTACACGTTCAATCCCCGTATGAAGCATTTATTTAAAGAGTTGGCCTCAATGATCCCTTCCAATTCAGAGTATTCTTTCTGTGAAGTTACGTCCCAGTTAAGGCCTGTTAGATGGTGACGGATGCTTGACTCAGTATGTTAACAAGTAGAGAAGGATCAGTCTCTTGATCAGTAACTGACTGTCTTAGTTTGGAAAGACAGGTGCCTGCTAAGGAATGCAGAAGCCTCCCCTGAAATGGAAAATGTAAAAACCACCCCCCTGCCTCCGAATTGCTATAAATTTTAAATTAAGGGGCTCTCAGGCAAAAAAATATGGGAGCAGGAATAACAGTTCTTTACTAGGGAAGAAAATAAAAAGATAAAATAAACAATGCAGTAAACTAAAACAACACTGACAGAGTCATAACACAACCTGACACCCTTTTGGTCACGGTGTTGGTAGCAGTCCAATTGGAAATGTGGCTGCAGTCCTCCTGGAGTGTCAGGTGTGGTTCTGGTGGAGCAGGGATCCTGTAGAAAAGGCTGTAGTCTTCCTCTGAAAATCAGTGGAAGAAGAAGCAGCAGCTTCTCTGTTCCTCTGGGAAATCCAGTGGAGAAAGCCATGCTGGTGTCCAGAATCTCAAGATTGTATCTGGGTAGGAATGCTTGGCTCCTCCCTCTGGGCTGAGCATCTCAAGCATCTCACAATGGGATGCTGTAGTTCTTCAGTCATGCAGTGACATTCCATAGCCTATTATCAGCAGATGTCTCCTCCACCCCCCCCCCCCACCCCAAGAAAGGATTGGGTGTGGAAGAGATAAAGAAAACTGCCCATTTAACAGAAGACACAGAAGACAACTGCCATACAGATGGCAAATAGAATACAATTTGCTTGACAATCGAGGACACTGATGTTTGAGGGTCTCTGTGTTTTGTTATGCTGTATGCCGATTCGGTTTGTTCCTTACACCCCTCTCTCTCTCCTTGATCGCCTCGTCTGTCAAATCTCTCCTCCCTGTTACCCCTAGCAACTATTGTATCCATTCCCTCAGTCCCTCCCTGGTTCCCTGTCTGTCACTCGG